CGACGCCACCGAAACTGAGGAAGCAGAGGAAGTCATCAAACAAATGCATGCTGCATGCGAGGGTGGGTCGAGCGATGAGTCAGAGAGCGACAGTGATTCCTCGAACTCTTCATCATCCACTGTTCAGGTGGCTCATGTTGTGTGTTGTTTTCTTCTGTAGCTGCAAGTGCAGGTTTGCCCGCAACTCTCTGTGTGTGTTGTGATGACCATGCATGGCTAGGCCAAGAAGTCCAAGAAGGACTCAAAGAAGAGTGAAACGAACGAGGAACCTGCTGCCAAGGGTGGAGAAAAGAAAGACAAAAAGAACAAGAAGAACAAAACGAAGACAGACAAGAAGAAATCCAAGAAGACCAAAAAGAAGAAGCAAAAGAAGAACAAGAACCAGAAGAAGGAAGAGACCGAAGAAGAGAAAGCAAAACATGCAGCAAAACAGCGCAAGGCTGATGCAAACAAGGCCAGGTTTGAAATGAATTGGAATTTGTGTAGATGCTCTTTGTATGTAACACAATGTGGCTTGGTCCAGGCAACCAAAACCGCTGCAACAAAGTTGCAGTCAATTCCAGGATTGCTCGCCAAGATTTCAGACATGTTCGCACCTTATTTGTGCTACTGTATGATAACCAAGGAAACCTTCACCAAATGTAGTAATCGAGTATGCTATACATGCGTGTGTGTGGAGGTACAGGTATGTTGAACTGGATCCAATTGTTTTCATTCCCTTGGCTGGCCAAGGGCTCAGAACTACAAAACCGCGATTGAGAACGACATCACTGCCAAGAGCGATGCTGTGAAGGATGCCCGTCGCACGCTTGAAAACAGCCTGGAGCAGAACAAGGCAGCTTTAAACAATCACAAAACAACTAGTTCCTAGTTCATTCAATCTTAATCACCCTGAACTGCCACCCTGTTTTGCTTACAATAGTTCAAAGGCTCAAAACAAATCATATTGATTTCTTGGAAGGCTGATGCGCTGGATGAGAACACTACCCAATTGAAGCGTGTCATGGCAGATCTAGACAAAGCTCTGGAGCCTTGCAAGCGTGTAAAGAAAGCAAAGACTGAACAGGCTGAGAGCAAGGCCTGAAAGAGGTTCTTGCAGATCCATTTGATGGTTCCGCCTCAGGGCATAAACCAATCTTTTTGTGTGCACCTAGAACCCGGCTTTGCACCAAGTTGTTGCCAGGGGAGCACTGGTCACACCCATGCAGAACTAACTACTGCAAAGTCGAGTGTAGCAAAATAACTAACATATGTGTTGTGTTTTTCAACTAGCCTGGTCTCTGGTAGGGGGGTGGCCGATCAGTGAAATGGGGTGGCAAAACCAACAAGGTGAGCCGTACTGTGCGTGGTCATGAGCGTGATGGAATGTCCAAGAAAAAATGTTCGTGTATCGTTTGGATCAATGACTGCACGAACTCCAAGCGTTCAAAGTCTTGTAATCACACATCGTGATCCTCCACCAACCTTTACTGGTTGGTGCACTATGAGCTGGGTGCTCATGTTGCTATTCCATGCAGGTGCTGACCCCGAGAACACCGACTTCATCCAGAACCAAATCGAGAAGCTTGCTGATGGGGTTTCGAACTCAAAGAACACCCATTAATTCACCAGAATGTGTCAATGTTTAGACTCCAAACCTTGTCTCAACCCATCGACACTTCCTTTAGGCCCACACAGTGGAGTCAGTCATGACTGCTGCCCGCAGCATGGTGAAGGACAGGCAGTCAAATCAAGTTTGCAAGATTTTGCAAGCTTTGAAATCAACAATATTAGTCAACTAAGTTTCTTTAAATACCATATTTTTGTGTGGTGGAAAACATCAAGCTGAAGCATTATGTTTGTTTGATTTGGAATCATGATTGCCGTTTTGCTTAGTTTTGCTTTCCAGTTTCTGATGTTGCACAACCTGCAAACATGTGCAACCAATCTCTGCTTCGCGAGCGGAGGAAGCCAAAGGTTCGGCATCCAGCTGGACTCGGTCATTGGCAGCATACAAGATCGGGAAGAACTGTTCCCGTGATTTCTTTAAACGAACCGCGCTTCCACTGGATTCTGGGTGATTCATGTTTAATAGTTTTTTTATTAAACCACTTGGGGTTGCACATGGTAAGGCGCACGCATAGTTCAAGTTGAAACCAACAAGTGCAATGCTATGTTTCCTAAGATGCGCATTTTTTTGAATCGTTCTTTGCCATCCATTCAGGAACCAGACATGGTAACCATCTCTGTGAATCATGAGAAGCTTGATGGTACACAGGTGACAAGGACACTTCCTCTCCTTCTCCCGCACAAGATTTTGCAGTATTTGTTTACACAGACTGAGCTCCACATTGATCCTCGGGTGATAGACAAGTACTGGTCACACCTGCGAGAAGTCCAGCATCCTTGGGCTATGAATTCTGAAGCGTCCTTGTTGCGGTTCATTCCTGTTGGCCTCCATGGTGACGAGGCTAGCTATGGTGCTGACAGGACAGCTCCTGATAAATTGACCTGCATATTTTTGGACCTACCCCTTTGGAGGCCAAAAAAACGCAAGACTTTTCGCGTGTGATTCGCATCAGCTTGTGGGCTACGAGAGCTTGCATCCTGTCCTTCAGAGAATTGTTGAGTCCCTCAATTTTGCCTATGCTGGTGTTGATGGATCAGGATGTGATGTTGTGGTGGGGAAACGCTTTGTTGTGTCAGAGATTCGTGGTGACTTGGCTTGGCACCGCTTCATCTGGCGCATGCACCGATGGTGGCGTGCGCGTGAGATCTGCTGGAAGTGTTCAGCTTGTAGTCGAGACGGCCCCCCTGTATTTTGAACATGGAGATTCTGCAGCTTGGAGGCAAACCCACATCAACACCGTAACATTCATAGCAGAAGGTCTCCCCGATGATCTATTGTGTGCCTCATCCAAATTTAGTGTGTGAATGCATGGGGTTCAAGACACTCCAGTGTAGCATGATTTTTGAAGGTCAGTAGACCTGCATAGTTGTTTGATTGTTTCAGCGCAAGTGAGCATCCAGGTCCACTGGCCATTGTCCGTGGTTTTCACATCGAATGCATCAAGATGTGCACCATGCACATTTGCAATCTTGGATTAGCACACACAGCGAATGGTGGGACGCTCTACTTGTTGTTGATGCTGGGGTGCTTTGGCGACCCCGCTAGCGATTTAAAAGCGCGTCTCAATGATGCCTTCGATGATTTCAGGCAGTGGTGCAAATCGCATCGGCCACGGATTGTGTGTTCTCAAAGAAGGTTCAAATTGCACCATTTGATTAAAAAATCAAACGGTGCATATCTCACCTCAAAAGCTCACAATGCACGCGTTCTGGTGCAGTGGCTAGCGCACTGTGCGGAAGTGGCTACCTCTGGAGTTTGGCCGCAGCACCGAATCCTTGGAAGATGGATTCAAGAGTCTGGTGGTTCACTGCCAGCTGACCCGAGATTGGTGCCTACAGCTGTCGCCATGATACTTGTTTGAGCGATATGTTGTTAAATTTGCTATGTTATTCTTGCTTGTGCTCCTTGCTAGTGCTACAAGGAATGGATTCGCGCGCTACTTCTGCCTGGTTGAGCGTGCACAGCGGTGCTTGTGCCTTTGTCAAAATTGGTTCAATCACTAGTCACTAGTAACTAGTATGAGTTTTTGAATCCTGCAGAAAGTGCAACTTAAGAGTAGAAGGTTTGGTGTGTGCAGCCACTTTGGCATGTGGATGCCTGTGAATTTCAGGACTGAACAGCAGGCCTCAGAGATTTACTCAGCTGGAATGCAGTTTCTGCACTGCCATATCATCCTGGCACAACTGAATGTAAGGCCCGTGGAGTTGACTTGAAGGTAGATGAGTTGTATCAATTAACTGGTTTATGTTTCTTGTTCAGGCTCAATTGCATTGCCTGGCAAGTCCGGCCAAAATTTCACGTTACTGGATTGCTTTATTGTGGTTTGCTAGTTGGGTTGTTTTTCTCTGCATGTTGGATTGACTGTTTTGTTGTTTGGTCATTATGTGTTTTTTTTTGCCCACAGTTAAGTAAGGCTTTCGAAGAATGCTTGGTGGAAACCAGAACGTACAGTTTCTTGGTTGTGGTGATTACAATTTTGCTGTACTTGTGCTCTTGTGACGTCTCCATGGGGTCCAACTGTGTTGTTGATGTTTTTTTGAGCCCTGTGTTGTTCAGGATTGAATCCGCGCTTCCAGCACACGTTTGTAGATGAGGATGCTGTTGGCTGGTGTAAACTTATAGCATCTAGAACGACTCAGCGCAAGAAGATTGAGGATACGCTCATGAGATCTGCTCGTCTTCGACTTCTCACGTTGAAATGGCGTGCTAGGAAATTGAACACTTCGGCCAACAAGAGAGCTTTGCGGTGAAAAGTGAGCATTGCACTTGTTAGTCAAACTTGAGTTGAGACCGTGAGAAGCTCGTTTTTTCGTGAGACTACGGAAGCGCCATTGTTAACCTATACACACATCCAGCGCCAAAGTTACTTTGGTCTTTTGAAGGTAAGGGTATAGTTATTTCCAGTCCCATGGATGGTCTGGGAGAGGTTGATGATGGTTGATGCCGGATGTTTTTCACCTCATCACTGCTCCGCCGTTCCGGGGTGTAAACCTCGGTTCCTTCGATCCTTGGGAACCCGAGCCTTAGCGGAGCCTGGTTCGGGTTTGGTCGGGTTGTGGTGCCAAAGAGTTGAAACCAAAGAATCCGATGTTTCGACGAATTGTGGGTCCTATAAAAAAGGTGTTTAGGGTTTCGGGTTGGTGGGTCTGTCTTTCCAACCTGATATTGAGCTCCAAAACCGTTTGAGTTCTTCGTAACATGGAGTGAGGGACGCATAATTGGGGGTATGTTTTTCTTTTTTGTTTCCGTGGTTTCATACGTCCTTTTCACTCCTTTTCTGTTAAAGATCATGTTCTTGTTTACATCCAAACCACCAAGCTCCAACCGTTCCATTCCTTTCCACCAACCAAGCTCCGTGTTCCAACCGTCTCCGTTTTTCGCGTATTGGCAGCTTCTGGAAGCGACGGCCGAGCTCCTGAGCTACCTCGAAGTGTCGGCCTTGCAGATCCATCCCGAGGATGTCGAAGAGGCCGCCACCGGTGAAGAAACCCATGTCAGTACGATGTTTCTTCTAAACACGTATATATTGTATGTCTATATATAGCTGTATAGCGGCTACATAGGCTCTAATGTGAGTTTAAAAAAAAAAAATATTTATATTATATTATATATATACTGATTACATGTTTTATAGTGTTTTACATGATTTTTGATATTTTTTTAAATCAAATGTTGGGTTCCTTGGTCTCGAAGATGTTGGATACTTGGAGGATTTGTCTTCAGATCTCCGTTCAAGTGTCCTCACCTGTCCGTGTGTGGTTTCTTTGGTTCTTTTCCAGGCCACCTGGGGCGCCTGGGGGGGGGAGTAGGCGGGAACACCTCTGGGGGAGCCAAGGATGAAGAAAATGACTTTGAGACTGTCGCATGATTCATGGCGCAGAGAGGCCCCCAAACTTGTTATAGGTTATAAATATTACGAAGACAAAACTGAAGTGGTTGATGAAGGACAGGGGAACCCGCTCAAGAGTTTTCACTTGCTCAAGGTTGGGCATAAAACAGATGTTGATGTTGGGAACTCCTGGTGCATCGTTTTGATGTTAATTGCTGGATCGATCTTTTGTAGATGGTTTGGGTGGCAAGTCACATGGCACGGTCGCTTAATGGTCCTCCATTCAAAGCGAGGCTTTAGAGTAATTACTGATTTCTGAGTACTTACGAAGAGTATGCGAGCATCGACTCATCACTAGAGCCTGAGAGTATATGGAGCTTAATGCACAAAATACACATGAATATCATATGGTACACTAGCTGGCGGTTTTCATGTCCCTTCCTAGTTCTCCCAGTCCTGGCTACTCTGTCTCCCCCCCCTGCATTCCTGACTATATTCGTTGCGGCCGTTTGCAAGGCGATCTCCATGAATGAGTACCAGCTCCAGAACAACCCGGACTTCATGAAAAGCAGCGTTGCTGGGCATATTGAACCTGTGTACACTCGAGAATGAGGGAGTCCTCATTGCCCAATCCCTCAGGGATGGATCAAATCGCAGCCTTTGGGCTGCCACAACTGTATGGAGGAAATCCGTTGCTCTCGTTTTGTGGAGAGAAAAACTCCATGGTAGAATGCTTCTTGACAACAGTTTCGGCTCAATCCTACATCATGCCGTTTTTGCATAGTAAGCATACCGGCACTGACACTAATTACTGCTTTTGTCTTGTTGATCTTGGGATCGGCTCGATGTTAGGAAGATCTGGCGAATCTCATGCAAGAGCTTCTGGAAGTGACTGAACAGCTTCGGGCCGCGTAGGTAGCGATTTCTTCCACTGGCCGTCAGACTCCAGAAATTGGACCCAGATCTCGGAAGTGTCCGGATGGAATATGGGACTTGCCCCTTGCAAAAAGCATTATTTTTCCAAGGTCTGGGAGAGATGTTTATATAACTCTAACATGTTTACTTATAACTATATATACAAGACATGATGACATATTGTAGGATATGTGCAATCTTCATTGGGTGGCTTTGCCCATGTTTGCCCCTGACTGGTGCTTGGATCGTTGATTTTTCTGCGTCTCACACTCGCGATCGCTTGGTTCCTCCCACGATGTGATCGACCAAAATGGGGAACGACCACTTGCAGCGACCTGCAGCTGTACTCGCAGGTGTTCAACGGCCAAAGATTTGCTGGAAAACCCATACATATATAAATATACCCATGTGGTTTCTTGGAAGCATCGTGTTTTTGTGGCTTGTCGGCAGGAGCGTAGCGGGTAGCAGTTTTCACCCTGTAATTCCACAAGAGTACTTGCTTGACACCAACATTCAGAATATTCCTTGCGCTGCAGAACCGAGCCCATGGATTACATGGAACCCTCAGGTGTGAATGCCACATCCTTGTTGGTGCTCTTCAGCGTTGTTTCATTTCTTTGCTCCTGCGCTGGAGCGACTCCTTGCACGGATGCGGCGACCCCACCGCAGGCAGACAATGCTGAGGCAGGTGGGACCTTGTGAGCTGCCCAGGGGGTCCTGTGGCCTTTGGTACTTTGAGGAAGATGGGTTCTTCTCCACCTATGTTGCCGCTTCCTTCGGAAGCGTGAGGGAGAGCAAAAGAATGAACACCATGTTGTTTCACCAGGTGCTACTTGAAGGAAGCTGAAGCTTTAGGCGACACGTGGCGAAAAAACCTCAAGTCAAAGTGGCCCAAGATTGATTGTTGCGCGAAATGGTCTCGGATTACGAATCCTCGGAAAGAATCTGTGCGCCCATCCAGCTTTGGTTGTGTTTGTTCTCGGCCGACGCACCCTTCGTTGGTTTCACTCGAGATCTTCATGTTTTGTCATGTCATTGGACGAGGCAGACAATATTGTCATTTGTTCCAGCTTCCTTGCAGATCCAGCAAAAGAACCAAAGAACTTCTGTCCTTCCTTCGTGGCAACTTTTGGAGCAGCGCCTTCGCCAGGAGCTGATTGCCAAGGCTGTGGCCTTCCTGAGTGGCGCCACAGTCTGGTGCTGAGATTGGGGGGCCGTTTTTCACTGAATTGGACCACACCCATTGGACTCCGAAACCGCGAGCTCTTGGCCTTCCAACCGGAGCGTACACTTGGCTCTTCACACCAAGCTCTAGTTGCAAGGAACTGACCAGAGTGGGAACGACCATTGAAAGAGATTTGGACCAAAGGGTCGAGTAGTAGCCCTCCCTGGGTCAGGCTACCGGACCGCCCATTTATGGAATATATGATGCCTGCATTGGCCGCTGATGGCCCACCCCATTCTATATTCCATCCCCACAGATCCACATACTTGTACCTTCTCAGAAGGTAAGGAGTGGACCCTGACTGCCAATGTGTCTCCAATCAACTTCAGGCTGTCAGTGGATCCATAGGGCATACCCTCTGACTCGCTAACCACCTATTTGTAGAGGAATATGGTCTTCCCAGTGGCCATTTGTTCATTTCCATGTTCGTGACTCGGAGCGCAAATGAAGTCTTTGGGCTTTGGGCTTCCTCGATCCATCCAACGGGGAATCCATCCAACCCTGCTTCGCTCACGCTTCGCTCACTTCTGCGACTCGAACGCCACATCGTCCAAGAACGCGAAGGCGAGGTTTTCAGGACCCGAACTCCCAGACACTCCATGGGACTGCCATAGGACTGCCGATCAGTTGGGGTGGTGGTGGTTTTGGGGGTCAATTGATCGGCATATATCATATATGGCACACACACATGGAGTGTTTGGGAATGTACATGGAGACCACTCTCATGGAGACTCATTTGTGGTCTCCATCTGGGCACGTCGGCCACGTCGGCCACGTGGCTCAGGGCAGATCCACGCAGGAGAAGGAGCAGTTTCTGGTGCCCTGCGGTGTCGGAGCGGGGGGTTTGGTGCTCGTGTGTTCTTTTTTTGGGTGCTTGAAGGCGGTTTAATTGGGGGAGTTGGTCTGTTGTGGGGACAGTTGCTTATGGATAGTGAGGAATGGAGACGGACATGCCATCTTGGACCGGTCCCATGGCCAAAGCAGGTCGTTTCTTCCCCACACCACCGACGTCAGAGGAAGGAAGCAAACACCCCCCCGACACGACGGGATACGGCATTCTTCGAATGGTTTCTCTGTATGATATTTTACAGTGACTGCCTGATGGTGGCCAAATCATCAAGTGGAACCATCCTAGTTCTCCCAAAAGTGGCGTCTGTCGCTGCTGTCATTGGGAGGTGGTTCTTGGGGAACCTGGGCCTCCAGGGCTTCTCTCGCCGTCCAGGTGGACAAGGGCCTCTCCCAGGAGCAGATCCAAGAGGTAGAGGGGCGGATCAGATAGGGGCTGGAAACACTCAGCTGCTCAATGAATCAACCGATTTGAGGCTCCAACTACCTCGCTCCCCGAGGTATACAAAATTCATCCAAATTCCGTGCTTCGGCGTACAGGGCAAGAGGCTCGTGCCAGGGGGTTCTGTCCCTTCTTTGTGGATATGGAACAGGAACCAAAGGGCAAGAACGTGCTTTATGGAAGTCATGGCTGTCCACCCAGCAGAGGAAGGGATCGGAAGTCTCTCTGTTCGAACGACGAAAAAAGGGTAATAAAAACTACACCCGTCACCAGGACCGCCACAGCGATCTGGTACCGGACTTCCCCATTGGGACAGCTTCGTAGATCTTCGGCGCCAATGAGTATGGCACTAGATGGCACAATCCCCAAGTTGCGTGCTGAAATATGGACCCCCATACTTTCAGGACATCTTGGGGTGCCAGTGCCATGGAACCTCTGAAACCACTGTATGCGTGTTGCTTTCGTTTTGGGGTGCTCATAGAGGCTGTATCGACGCATATGAGGCGTTCACACAAGGCTTGCCTCGACGCATCGTCGCTTGTCGCTTGGGAGGCGTATCGACGCATCGAGGAGTCCAAAGGCTGGAGCCAACCTCGCAGGTGTTTGGGATGGGTGCCGCCGTGGTGAGGGTCTCTTGAGAACGGTAGGATGAACGGAAAGCCTCATGGTGGGGAGGGTTGGTTCAAATCAGTTTCTGGGAGAATCAGTGGGAGTTTGTGGCTTTCCAGGTTGGTTCTATTTTCGCTCACCATCTCTCATCAGTTTCTGTTGAATTTGTTCATGCCCTCCGTCAGGCCGCCCCGGATCTTCCTCGCAGGCGACCGGGTGTGGGCGGCCGTTGTGCTGGCTCATCAACTCGATCAATTAAAAAATGTCAACGTTCACACTGCAACAGCGCAAACACCAAGCCTCACAGAGTGATGTTATTTTGAGGAAGCAGAACTCAAACAAACTGTTGGGAGCGCCAATATGGAGTTTTTCTTGTGTTGTGAACCAGGCTCCTGAGGTCAAACTCAGGTGTCATGGACTTGTGTTTCCTTCAAGTTCACGTCTACAAGGACTCGGACCGTGACCGTGAGTGGAAACAACGAGAAGACCGGTATAGAGGTTGGCGGGACAACTCCCTTGGCGGCAGGAGGGGAAATGAAACGGATTTGGACCGGAGTGGTCAAGGTTTTATTTCACTTGCAGACCTGTTTTATTGCTTTCTTTCGTTCATGTGCCTGGTGTGCGGCTGAAAATCTCTTCTGTAAATGTCACCACTCAGCAAGCACTGTTCTTGTGTAACCCAGACCGACTTTGTGGCTGGCCTTATTCTTTGCGGGTGTGAGACTGGCCGTTACACAAGCAAGCTGGGCTGCCAGCTGGCATGACCAGACAGTTCAAGCCGCTCAAGCCGGAACATGCCGGAACTTGTACACAGTTCATCCTGCAGCACTTTCTCTTACGTATATAACCCTATCTCACTCTAATCGTCAATCCAAAGGTGGGATTGTTTGAGAGGTCCTCATCTCCAAAAAAAAGCCTGGGTATTTTGGCAGTATTGTGATTTACTATCTGTGGGGGTCCAAGTACCTGCTCAGAAAAAAAAACCTGGACCCTCCTGGCACCCACCCCAGTCCCACATTCGAAACGAAGGTACGACTGGATCCCCAGGGTATAATACATTCTCTTCCCAAACGAACGGGTCGCTCCTCCGACTCCTCCCAGGCCCTGCCCGGCGCAGGCGCGGCCATGCCGGGTGCTCCGGCCATGCCGCAGCCGCCGCAGACGCCGCAGCCACCGGTGCGACCGATGCCGCCGTCGCGGCCCAGCCCTGCCGTGGGCTCGGTTTTTGCAGTTCGAATCGCCAGACACATGGATTGTACTTGTAAAACCATATGTATAATTGTGTATATATATATATAACCTTTTCATATGGGGGCTTGAAATAGAATCAAGATGAATCAAGAGTCTACATTACAGTGTCCTACACTTTCGGGCTGGGTGTACTGAGGGAGGGCATGGGAGGCACTGTTGTGATTCCAAGAAACTCCCCAACCGTTGGATGAATTGAGACGTAACTGGTGGTTGAACTTGGAAACCCTGTTCAATTGAAACCAACAGGACCTGCTCACTTTCGACATTGCAACTGCCTGCGCTCGCAACGGGTGAGAGTCTGAGGTCACCCCCTCCTATCCCAGCGGCCCTGGGTATCAGGTCAGACTCTCAGGTGGGTCAGAGGTCGAGGTGAGAGATGATGCGGAACATTGTGGATGTTTGTTTTGTTATGTTTTGTTTCTTTTTTGTTTATGTTTTTTCTTCGGTCCAACCGCTTTGCATATCGATATCGAGAAGTGCCACTTGGCCACGTCTTCAGATGTGCGACCTCCACGCTCCGCGATCTCCGTGAAATCTCCGCGGAGGCGCCGCCTTATCCCAGCAACCCCTACCAGCAAGCTCCTGCTTCTTGGCGATGTGGCGGCAGGTCTCAGCAGTTTGGCACAT